TTAATCTTTGGGCTGGGAAGTCGGAAGGAACTTTGGGAAATGGTAGGGTGGGCGGTTGGAGAAAAACGTGCAAGTCAAATTCTTGCTGCCTTTGGGAAGAAAGAAAAGAGCACAGAGCAGAGCAGAGGACCTGGAGACCTGACAAGAGAGGCTTCCTAGTGCTTAGGCCTTGGAAACCTTGTGCTGAGACTCAGTCTTTGACATCAGAAACTGCTTCCCACCCGTGCAAAAATTGCCCTTTTTAGGGGATAGAGAGATTTATACAAGTAGGCTGCCAAGATTACTCTACTGGTAATTTTTGGAGAGGGTAGATTTTTCCACAGATAATTTTTTTCCTTCTTGTCAAACCCACCAGCCCAAACCAAAGAGCAAAGGCCAAATAAAGATCTGGAATCTTTCGCCAACCAACCAACCAACCAACCAACCAAAAATGCTTATCAAGATAAGCCCAGTTGTTTTCAACTAAGGGTTAATAAGCAAGTGAAATAGGCCAGTGCATTTACAAGGAAAACTGCAGAAAAGGAAAATACCAGGGCTTTCAAGTACCTTCCAAGCAATTTGAGATGTTTTATTCACATCATGAAGACAGTTTTACCCTGGAGCATTTCCTTTTCAGAAACTACTCAAGGAATCTGCTCTTTTGGGCTGCTTCTTGACATGGAAACATTTTAATGTCACTGCTTTACCTTTAGTTTGGGATTTTGCCTCTTCAGCCAAGTTTCTGCTCTACTACTTGTGCCTGGCTGTTTTGATTTCACTGTCCAAACCCCTCCCTAGCTCCCTCGCTTCCGTCTTACATTTTCTCCACAAAATGCATTTGCTATAGTCCATTTTCTAATGTTTGTCATTCTTTTTGTGCTTTTTCATTTTACTAAATCAATCAGTAAATATTTGTTGTGTGTAAGGCATTGTGCCTGTTACAGCAGGAGAAACAAAGTGACATAAAAACTTTCTTCAAGGACCTTGCTGTGAATTGAAGATTTTTCAGCCAGGAAGTGTATCTCATATTTGACCTTTCCATTGGATTCCTGTTACTCTTTTGGCTAGGTCCTGTTGACATCACGAGAGTTTCCTAAATCATAGCCACCCCCCCCAGCTTACCATTACCCCCAATCAAATCAATCCCAGTTCAACTCTAAAAAAATGAAGTTAACTCGATGGTTGCCAGAAGAGGGGGGGAGGGGGTGGGAGAATGAGTACATGGGTGAAAGGGAATGGGAGGTACAGACTTCCAGTTGTGGAATAGATAAGTCACAGGAAATGAGGGGTACAGGATAGGGAATATAGTCAGTGGCATTGTAACAGCATTGAGTGGTGACAGATGGTAGCTGCACTTGTGAGCACAGCATAAAATTGTTGAACCATTGCATTGTACACCTCAAACTAATGCAACATTGTGTGTCAGCTATACTCAAATAAAAAAAATATATTTTTTAAAATTCATTCTCTCACCATCCTACTCTCCAAAAAAATATTTCCAAGATGCCATATTGCCTAATGAGTAAAGCTCAATTTCGTTGGCTTGGTTCAAAATTTTACCTTTAACCTTTACCTTTACCTTTTACCTTTTACCTTTAAAATCAAAGTCCTACCCATCTTTATGGCTCAAGGCCCACTTCATTCAGGCATCTTTTCTCCACTTCCCCACCGAGAGTGATCTCTCCCTTCAATTTCTGGAGATTATGTTCTACATCACTCATTGGTATGCTGCCTTGACTAGTTTGTTTTGTATGCATGTGGCTTTTCCCCATTCAGATTGCAGATTTATGGAGAGCAGGGCCTGAGCATAATGCATTATACACAAAAGATGCTTAATACATGTTTGATGATGAAGACGGGGATGATTTTTCCTGATTTCAGGGTATGTATAGGATGGGTTCTAAGGGTGAGTGGCTAAGGGAAGATTCTGGAGGGAGGGGAATGAATTAATAAGGCTTTTACAGTCACAGTCCAAAAGGGATAAGAACTTCAACTTACTGATTCCTTGGCTGGGAGCCTTGTTGTATTGCCAGAATTTTAGTGAGTTTGAAAAGAAAAGGAGGGACAGGACTTTGGGACTGCTATGAATTTATGTGGAGAATGAGAGAGAGGTAGATATCAGAAGTAACTGAACCTGAGTAACTTCAATAATGATAGTAGCATTAGCCAAAACAAAACAAAAAAGGAAGAAAGAAAGAAAGAAAGAAAGAAAGAAAGAAAGATAAAGAAAGAAAGAAAAAGGAAATCAGAGGTGGAAGCCAGATTTAGAGGGGAGTTGATTCAAGTTTTTAAAAAGATTTTTATTTGTATCTCTCTCACACACACACACACACACACACACACAGAACAAGCACAAGCAGGGGGAGCGGCAGGCAGAGGGAGAAGGAGGCTCCCCACAGAGTGCAGAGCCCAATGCGGGATTCGATCCCAAGACCCTGGGATCATGACCTGAGCCAAAGGCAGGCGCTTAACTCTCTGAGCCACCCAGGTGCCTGGTGAGTTTGTTTTCAGACATCCTGAGTTTAGGGTAACTTGAGTAACCAAGTGGACATCTAGCAAGCAGTGAGATACTCCCTACCTCTATTCAATTCCATGCAACAAATATTTACTGAACATCTGCCATATGCCAGTCACCATGTTGGAGAGATAGTCAAAGAAGACACAAACCCTGGCCTCCAGAACTCATGTTTGAGTGGGGAAGACAGACTAGTAAATTCCTCTGGCATAAGGTAGTAAACGGTGTAATTGAAATATGAAATTGAATATGAAATTGAAAGTGCTATGAAAGTATAAATAGGGGACAAATTGCATCCAAGTGGATGAGAAAAAGTTACAGAAGTGACGAGTTTTGAGCAAGGCCTGGAAAGAAAAAGTAGACATTTGTTCAATAAACAAATAGGGAAATGGCTTTCCAAGTGAACGAAGTCTCAAGCCAAGGCACAGGTCACAGAAGTGTGGGGCATTCTAGTGATCTGAAACGACTAAAGAGAATGGGATGACAGAATAAAGATGGATGGAGCAAAAGAAGTAACTGGTGTCAAGAGACTGGAGGAACTTTGTTACACTAGCCTGTGGAGGCGGTCTAGTGCAATGGTTAGAGGCGTAGACTCCAGTGTCAGACTCCCTGGGTCAAAATCCCATCTCTGCCACTTACTAGTTCTGTGACCTTGAGTGAATCCTTTAGTCCCTCTGTGCTCAGTTTTCCCATCTGTAAAATGGGGTTGATGGTACCTGCCTCGTAGGATTGCTTTGATGGTTGAGAGGGCTAGTATGTGTAAACTGATTAGGGTCCTGCCTGGCATATAGTGAGGATACGTAAAGGTCAGCCCAAGGGCGAAATGGCAAGAAACGGACCACTACACCATTGTGTACTACACCTTCCGCAGCTTCGAAAGGAAACTACGGGAACTAAGTCTCCAGATACTCTAAGCACACATCCAGGGAACACTAGGTGAATCTCTTCTCACAGGAGTGGGAGTTTCTTGAGAGGGTGAGGTTCTCTGCCTTGGAAATGTAGATCCAGTTTAGAAAAAGTGTGAACAGCCTGAGTGGGGGAAAACTCGAATGGCCAGAGTGGGACTGTTGACTCACAATAAATGGGAGCTCTCATTATGGTACTCCCTCCAGCAAGTGGAAATAAAACAAAATCAGGCGGTGACACCACACGCGTATTTTATTGCAGTTGAGTAAGAAACAGAAAATTGGCCAGCAGAGCATGAGTGAACAGGCAGCAGGGTCCAGTGGTGAGTACTTTGCTTGGCTCAGATTATGTAAAGGAATCCTCTGAAGGGGGCTAGCAATCGGAAATGCAGCCCTACCTTGCTAATGAAGCCTATCTCGCCCCAGGAGTTCGGATGCTCTCAAGGAACCCATTGTCTATTCCTTGGCTTTCTAGAGCTCTGCTCCAGCACTCCTGGAATAGACTCTTGGAATGATTGTACTTCCCTGTGTGACTGCAAAAAGGAACTGAATCTCGTCCACCCACCCAGCCGGCCCTGGGGTTTCACTTGACAGAACCAGGGGTGAATGCTGGGCTTACCACCAATAGCTGTGCGATCTTGAGTGAGTCACTCAAATTGTCTGAGCTTCGGTTTCTCCATCTGTGAAACGGGAACAAAAATGGCTCCTCTATTATGAAGGGTTTATGGTAATTACAAGAAAGAATTTATCTAGAAAGCGCTTGGAACACTGAGTGCTTAAGAGTTGTAAGTTCATCTCCCTTCCTTTGCCTTTATACTTAGGCCACCCAAAGATCCCTGCTCTCATTTTAGCCCTTCTAGGGGCTTCCTCCCATCTCATGTCCAGAGTAGTAGAGATGGGAAGAAGGAGGAATCAGTATATAGAAAGACGGTGAAAAATGGTGGCTCTTTTTTCAACCCCTGTCCCCCCAAATCTGACTTTGTGGTAGAGATATTTTGATGTAGCCAGTATTCCTAAATGGGAAAGGTATTCAGATTCTGGATGGCCGAAGGTGAGAAGCATCTGCTAAGACATCGTGACAACTCTACGAAATACACATGCGTATATTTACTCTGAACTCACGGCTGTTCATTTGTATGTTTTAGGATGAGACGGGAACAAGGATAATTGAAAACATTTCGTTTTTAGGATGGTAGAAATAGATTGTCGTAATGTTACCTTAATATTGTTGTGCCTGTGGAGAAGGATCCTCTTTTCCTGACATACTTAATTCTCCTTACCCTCTTTTCAAAAGAACAACAGGAGGAAAGGGTGCTGGAGTAAAGGGAATTGTACAGTGGGAATAACATGCCCCCATCTCATCTGTCCTTCTGCCCAGCCTTCCATTAACCATCATGACCAGAGGCCAGAGAGCTTCCTGTCTGTGGTGCTTCAATGCCCTTGCATCATTAATATCATCATCTCTACCCTTCTTCTAGGAGTGGATCTTATGAGGGAGGTATGGAAGAAGTCCTGCATGCTTAGCGTCAATCCGAACCTTTGAGAACCAGCAAGGGACAAAGGCAGCAATCACTGTGTAATATTCTGGACTTTCTTGGCAGGTGAATACTGCTATGCATGAGGCAAAACTCATGGAAGAATGTGACGAGCTGGTAGAGATCATCCAGCAGAGGAAGCAAATGATCGCTGTCAAAATCAAAGAGACAAAGGTAAAGCATGGAGCTTCGGTGAGGCCAAGGCAGAGTTGACTTTACAAATGTCAGAGTTTCATCCCGATGATTCCAGTTTGAACTTGGATCATGAAAGTAAGAAGAAATGGGGTTAGAGGGAGGGAGGCAAAGAAGAAGCGATGTTTGGCCTAGTGCTATAAACCTGGTAAAAATGATGAGTTCTGGGGTATTGGAAATGCTCTATACCTTGACCCGGTTGATGGTTACATGGGTGTATGTATATGCAAAAAAAAAAAAAAGTCATTGAGTTGTCCACCCAGAGGTGGGTGCTTTACTGTAGGTATGTTATAGGTCAATCCAAAAAGAAAAAAAGCGATGGTAGAAATGTGGGCCAGAATTATGGAAGGACCATGCGTGCTATTATAAGGACTTTGGGCTTATCCGCAAGGGCATTGGGAAGCCATCCTAGTTTCTTAGGAAGGGAGAGAGTGATCGATATGGCAGAAGTAACCAGGGTGGATCCGAACAGGATGACACTGAAGTCGGGGAAGCAATCTAAGAGGCTTATGGAATGATTCTTGATAGGAGTCGATGAAGACCTACACGGGGGAAATGTCAGCACAAGTGGAAGGAAAGGACAGAACAGGAATTACTAGAAAGGAAATGATGGGAATCCTCGACTGCTCCACTGTAAAAGATGAAGGGAAAGAGAAGACTTCCAGGTTTTTAGCCTAGGAACTGAAGAAGCAGGGTCAAGGTCAGGTGTGAGCCTCCATGCATCCGTATGGTTGTAGGCATATTGGTCTGCCGGTCAGCGTAGTGATTATAAGCTCATGCCGGGTATATAGTGTGAGGATTATGAGAGTCTGAGGTGATGATCAATACTTTGTGCCATGCTGGGTGGTTCCAGCCAACGCAAGAACTGAAATTCCTGAGAACACAGATCTGTGAATGCACAGGTGCTCATAAGAATACGGAGAGAAAGATATTCGTTGGAAGGTAGAGTGCCATAAAGAACAAGGAAGTACTTTTTATTAAACACGGCTGTGAAACTATATCGACCATAAGATGGGTCGATGGAGATCCCTGGGTGGCAGGGCTTCCTTTGATACTTTTTATTTTCTAAATACTCAACTGTGAGCATGCACTCTTGTTCTAATCAGAAAAATTAAAGTTTTTGTCCATGAAAAAGAGGAGGCAGATGACCGAGAGTGTATGACTGAGTGAGTTGCAGCCTAAGTAAGCGGGCTGTAGGTGGGAGGAGGGGCTGGCAAGACATAGACGGTGGGGTGAGAAGGTGAGTGGTTAGTACAGGAACCATGGGATATTAATAGGCCTTATTTTTAGCATCGCTGCAGCAGATCTTCTTCGTGTTGTTTTATCGTTTTTAATTAAGCCCTGGATGTTGAAGCTCATTTTTCTTCTGCTCATTCCTTTAAGGTTATGAAACTGAGAAAGTTGGCACAGCAGGTTGCTAATTGCCGCCAGTGTCTTGAGCGCTCAACAGTCCTCATCAACCAGGCTGAACACATCCTGAAAGAAAATGACCAGGCCCGGTTTCTCCAGTCTGCAAAAAATATTGCCGAGAGGTGAGCTCCTTCTCTTCTTTTCTCTAGGCCTGCTCTTAGGAAAAGGGTGCAGCTGGAAGTCACTGAATTCTGTTTGGGCACCTACATAGCAGCTGCTGCCCGAAGATCTTACCAGATGCTTTTACTAAAGCCTCAGTGGTAGCCTCTGGGTAGCTTCACCCCTTCTTCCAGTGGACAGCCAGCCACATTCCCTAGGGAACTAGGGAACTAGCTAGGGCTCTGCCCTAGCTCTCTGCTGCCCATTCAGTGTTGGAGTTTTCTTTTGTTTTTTTTTTTAAGATTTTATCTCCTTGTCAGAGAGAGGTGGGGAGGGAACACAGGCAGGGGAAGAGGCAGGGGGAGAAGCAGACTCCCCGCTGAGCAGGGAGCCCATGCAGAGCTCGATTCCAGGACCCTGGGATCATGACCTGAGCCAAAGGCAGACGCCCAACGGACTGAGCCACCCAGGTGTCCCAATGTGTTGGAGCTTTCTAGGTTGGTGTTAGCATAGGGGCAGAGAGACTTTTGGCCACAGGGATAGGTATGTGCCCTCTCTGAGTCTTTGTGCAATTTTTATTCCTTTCATTTAGTTATCTCTCACACAGATGGATAGAGCAGTAATTCTTAGGCTTTTGTTTTTAATCAGTCATCCCCTTGAAAATGTGATGGATGTCCTGAGCCCTCTCCTGAGGGGGAAATGCATATTCGATACATACACGTAGAATTTTGCATGTGATTCCAGAGGACTCATGGGTCCTTCGAAGGCCATCTATACACCATGTGCAAAGAATCTGAAGTCTAAAGTGGAACATTGCTCAGTAGAGTCACCGAGGCTTTAAGGGGCTACAGAAACATATTAGGCAAATTTGGCCTCCTTCTCTGTCTCTCATTTACTAAGGCTTTGGCTCCACGTACACAGTATTCCTTCTTACTGCTTCTGCCATCATTCCGGGTGACACTGGCTTCCACATGGCTGACCCCATCTAATGGGCTCCTTGCCATCCCCTCCTCCAGGGACCCTCACCTTTGCTCCCCTTCATCTACCTGCTTCCATGGCTCCCATGCTGAACCTTTCCATCAGTCAGAATTACACTGAAATCATAAACTAACACCCACCCTGTGTTCTAGCTACAACCTCTGTACTTAAAATTGGTTGGTTTTCTTCCAGAGTCTCTATTCTTCAACTTCATCAGGATCCCTAAGACCCGACTGCTACCTACCAGCTACCTACTGTCTTTCCTTCTTTCTTTGGTCTGTTGAGGCTCTGTGATTTCTCACGTCAGCTGCGCACTCTTGTTGCAATGTACCCACTTCCCTGGTCTTTTTATCACACCAACCTGATCGAATCCCCAACCCTGAACCAGCCCAGCTCTTTCTGTTTTCTTTTTAAAAATATTTTATTTATTTATTTGGGAGACACAGATAGTGAGAGAGAGCATGAGCAGGGAGGAGAGGGGCTTCCCACTGAGCAGGGAGCTCAATGCAGGACTCAATCCCAGGACCTGGGAATCATGACCTAAGCTGAAGACAGACGCTTAACTGGCTGAGCCACCCAGGTCCCCCTCTTCCCACCTTTTCCATGTCTGTATTTGAGTTGCAGAACCCAGCTAGGGAAAACCACATAACCAAAGAGGTTGGTATTATCACACCACACATTTATGGCTTCTAATCTCACTGGGGCCCCGAAATCCTTCTGTGTCGCCTTGATCAGCTTTCTTTTTGCTTTGTCTCCCTAATGACTATTTCAAGTGTTCTGTATTCAACTCAAAAATTCCAACCCTGCCACCTTCCCCCTCATGCTCAGCAAATGACTTCACATCCTATTTTAAAGAGTGGCAGGTATGAAAGGACAAAGGACAAAGTTCTCAGCTTCTCAAACCAAACTGCTGGGCATATCTACATCCACATCCATGACTTTTGCCTCCCCACTCCCTTTTTTGTTTTTTTAAGTAGGCTCCATGCCCAGTGTGGAGCCCAAGGTGGGGCTTGAACTCACAATCCTGAGATCAAGACCTGCTGAAATCAAGAGTCTGACGATTAACCGACTGAGCCACCTAGGCACCCCTCCCTTTTGATTATATTGTATTATTTGTGTTTTGGCCACATGCTTCCCTTTTTTCCCATAGCTTCAGTTTTTCCAGTTCTCTAGTTGACTTCATATCCACCTTTAAACCCACTCATGTCTCTCCTATCTAAAAAATAGAACACCCACGACTTTCTCTTCCCTTATACCCCCTCTAGCTATTGCTGTATCCATCTCTTTCCCGCATAGCAAACTTTTTCAAAGACAGTGCCATGTCCTCACCTCTGACTTACTCTTCTTCAACATCAGAAGTAATTTATATTAAAGTAATACTTGTGCATAGTTTAAAAAATCAAATATTACTAATAGTCATATTGCAAGAAAGAGCAATCTCCTCACTGCTGATTTCTGTTCTCCAATAAGAATAATATTGAGCATTGATTCTGTGTTGAGCATTAGTCTAAGCCCCTGCAAGTGTTAACACATTTAATCCTCACAAAAAAACCCTTGTGAGATAGATGCTATTATTATCCCCATTTTACAAGTGAGAGAATGAGGCTCAGAGAGGTTATGTGACTTGCCTAACATGACCCAACTAGTAAAGGATAGAGGCAGGAATCAAACCTAGGGAGTTTAGTGCCACAGTCTACACCTTCCCAGCAAAGCCAAGAAGTTTCAGCTCTGTTAGGTATTTCTGTTGCCATGGCCTTTACATTTCTAAATAACATCCTTATATTGCCATCTCCCCCCCCATTTTAGACATTAACAATTGACTTCTGCAAACCTGGAAATTTTTCAGCCATCATTTCCTCAAATAGTTTTTAGAAGATTTTTTTCTTTATTTTAAAGAGAGAGAGAGAGAGAGAGAGAGAGCGCGCACACATGCAGGGTGAGGGGCAGAGGGAGGGAGAGAGTCTCAAGCAGACTGTGCACTGAGCACCAAGCCTGATGCGGAGCTTGATCTCACCACCCTGAAATCCTGATCTGAGCTGAAACCAAGAGTTGGATGCTTAATTGACTGAGCCACCCGCCCCCTTGAGTATTCTTTACGCCACCCCCTTCCCTTCTTATGCAGAGCCTAACATTACATGTATGTTAGGCTCATTGAAGTTTGTCTCAACTCACTGATGCTCTGTTCCTTTTTTAGCTATTTTTTCTCTGTGTGTTTCATTTCGGTAGTTTCTTTTTTTTTCTTTTTTTAAAAAATTATCTTGGGGCGCCTGGGTGGTTCAGTGGGTTAAAGCCTCTGCTTTCGGCTCAGGTCATGATCCCAGGGTCCTGGGATCGAGCCCCGCATCAGGCTCTGTGCTCAGCAGGGAGCCTGCTTCCCTCTCTCTCTCTGCCTGCCTCTCTGTCTACTTGTGATCTCTCTGTCAAATAAATAAATAAAATCTTTAAAAAAAATTATCTTTATGAGATATAATTGACACATAAAATGGTATGTTTTTTAAATTCAACTTTTTTCAATGTTCCAAGACTCATTTATGCACCACACCCAGTGCCCCATGCAATACGTGCCCTCCTTAATACCTACCACCAGGCTCACGCAACCCCCCACCTTCCTCCCTTCCAAAACCCTCAGTTTGTTTCTCAGAGTCCACAGTCTCTCATGGTTCGTACCCCCCTCCGATTTCCCCCAACTCACTTCTCCTCTCCAAATCCCAATGTTCTCTGTGTTATTCCTTATGCTCCACAAGTAAGTGAAACCATATGATAATTGATTCTCTCTGCTTCACTTATTTCACTCAGCATAATCTCCTCCAGTCCCGTCCATGTTGATGAAAAGTTGGGTATTCATCCTTCCTGATGGAGCCATAATATTCTTTTCTTTTTTTAAAAGATTTTATTTATTTCCTGCCACGTTGCTGAATTGTTGTATGAGTTCTAGTAGTTTGGGGGTGGAGTCTTTTGGGCTTTCCATATAAAGAATCATGTCATCTGCGAAGAGAGAGAGTTTGACTTCTTCATTGCCAATCTGGATACCTTTTATTTCTCTTTGTTGTCTGATTGCTGTTGCTACGACTTCTAATACTATGTTGAACAAGAGTGGTGAGAGTGGGCATCCTTGTCGTGTTCCTGATCTCAACGGGAAGGCTGCAAGCTTTTTCCCATTGAGGATGATATTTGCTGTGGGTCTTTCATAGATAGATTCTATGAAGTTGAGGGATGTTCCCTCTATCCCTATACTTTGAAGTATTTTAATCAGGAATGGATGCTGGATTTTGTCAAATGCTTTTTCTGCATCAATTGAGAGAACCATGTGGTTCTTCTCTCTTCTCTTATTGATTTGTTCTATCACATTGATTGATTTGTGAATGTTGAACCATCCTTGTAGCCCAGGGATGATTCCCACCTGGTCATGGTGGATAATCTTTTTAATGCGCTGTTGGATCCTGTTTGCTAGGATCTTGTTGAGAATCTTAGCATCCGTATTCATCAGTGATATTGGTCTGAAATTCTCCTTTTTGGTAGGGTCTTTGCCTGGTTTGGGGATCAGGGTAATGCTGGTTTCATAGAAAGAGTCTGGAAGTTTTCCTTCTGCTTCAATTTTTTGAAACAGCTTCAGGAGAATAGGTGTTATTTCTTCTTTGAAAGTTTGGTAGAATTCCCCAGGGAATCCGTCAGGTCCTGGGCTCTTGTTTTTTGGGAGGTTTTTGATCAGTGCTTCAATCTCGTTACTAGATATTGGTCTATTCAGGTTGTCAATTTCTTCCTGGTTCAATTTTGGGAGTTCATAGTTTTCCAGGAATGCATCCATTTCATCTGGGTTGCTTAGTTTATTGGCATATAACTGTTGATAATAATTTCTGATGATTGTTTCTACTTCTACAACTAACTTGGTGTTAGTTGTGATCTCTCCCTTTTCATTCATAATTTTATTAATTTGGGCTTTCTCTCTTTTCTTTTGGATTAGTGTGGCCAATGGTTTATTGATCTTACTGATTCTTTCAAAAAACCAGCTTCTAGTTTCATTGATACGTTCTACTGTATCTCTGGT